GCCATTCTTCTTCAGCACAATTGGAGTAGGTGGCATCGGTGATGGATCAATTAATTTTCCTTGGGGATCGATAGATTTCGAATCTAAGAAAGGAAAAGCTATATCTCTGGAATTTCTTGTGATCAACGCAGCAATGATCAGGTAAAGGAGTCAACACTACTGATCAACAATAAGGAAATATTCATCTACCAACGTCCAAACCTTCCAACATCAAAACGTGTGCAATCCAAGTGTTCACACCAAAAAGGAAAAAAAAAAATTGAAACATCAAGAGACTACCAGGGATCTGTTGTGATGCTGGATGATGAGACTCCAATGCTGGATGTGAAGGTTGCGGTTGTCTCACCTCCAAGGTAATGTTTCAGTCTGTCCAAGTCATCTGCAGCATCAAGCATGGTTGGCCTACCTGAAGGGCTCTCATGGGAGCACACGAGACCCAGCTCTAGCAGCTCCACGATCGCTACCTCATACATGTTTCTCACCTCCAGATTCTGATCGCACGCCTCCCTCATCAGTCTCGAGTCCACGATGCTCTCCAGTCGACTGCGGTACTGCTGCTTCACCCATCTCTGCAAGCTCAGACCTTCGCCAAACATGCCGTCCGTCGGCCTCTTTCTGGTCACTGTTTCCAGCACCAGAATTCCAAAGCTGTAGACATCGCCCTTTATCGATGCGGCTCGACCGTATCCATACTCTGAATAAATCCATATTTCAGATTCAACTGCGTGTCATCTCAAACATTCGAAGCGATGCAAGTTTTACCTGGAGCAACGTATCCGATCGATCCACAGAGAACGTTGGCCGTCGAGTTGGATGCTGCTTCGCCTGCTGCGTTTGCTTCTTCCACGGTCATAACCAGCCTTGCAATTCCGAAATCTGATACCAGGGCGGTCATGTCGTCATTGAGCAGGATGTTGCTGGGCTTCAAATCACAGTGGATAACTTTCACTGGTGAGTGGTGGTGCAAGTAAGCTAAGCCCTCGGCGACGTCACTGCAGATGTTCACCCGCTCCACTAAGCTCAGCTGCGAGCAGTCTGCCTTCTCTGCCGCCGGGTAGAGATGGCTCTCCAGGCTTCCATTGGCCATGAATGGGAGCACCAAGGCCTTGAAATCTGGAAGACTGCAAGCTGTTATGATCCTCATCAGGTTCCTGTGCCTGATGTTCTTCAGCACATGGCATTCCCTGTTGAAGCTTCTGGTGGAGTTGCCGGATTGGAGTTGCAGAACTTTCACTGCAACTAAGGTGCCATCATTCAGTACTCCACTGTAGACACGTCCAAAGCTACCGGACCCTATCAATCGGCTTTGCTCGAACCCTTCTGTAGCCTCGACAAGCTCTCTGTAAGTTATTCTCGGGTGACTCGATGAAAGGCGCAGAGAAAGCTTGTCGGGATCCCCATCTTCTCTTTTGATCATCTTCTTTCTTATGATCATGTAACCTGTGGCGCAGATGATTGTTACCAGGAAAGCTGATACGGTGACGGCGCTTACGAGCAGTATGAGGGCCTTGCGAGAATGTATCGCGCTTCTCTTCTTGCGATGGCAGCTGGGAATGCCCGGTAGTGACCCACAGAAATTGTTTCCTTGGATCCATTCCGATGTCAAGATGTCGAAGACACCACCCTGCGGCACCGGTCCGCTGAAGTTGTTGAAAGCGAGATCGAGTAGCCTGAGGCTGGCACAGTGCTGAAGCGAGGCTGGAACTTCTCCGGAGAGGAGATTGAATGACAAATCCAACGATTCGATGCTCAGTAGGCTACCCAGTGACTGAGGAATCTGCCCTTGCAGATGATTGCGAGAAAGATTCACCAGCTCGACCACTTCACAGCTTCCCAGACTTGCAGGAATGCGGCCTCTGAAGTTGTTCGACGACAGATCGATTTCCTTGACCTTGTTCAACATGCTCAGCTCCATGGGAAGTTCTCCATGTAACAGGTTGTGTGACAGATTGAAATAGATAGCCATGGAGCTCAAGCTTGCAACTTCAGCTGGAACCGTTCCTGTGAGCCTGTTGTAGGACAGGTCTAAGAGCTCCAGTTTTGTGCTTCCCAAGCTTGAAGGTATTGATCCAGATAACAAGTTCTCATTAAGTATCAGTCTTCTTAGCTGAGTTAGATTTGCTAAGGCTGTAGGAATGGGGCCAGAGAGCTTGTTCTTCGACAAGTCCAAGAGCCCTATGTTGTTTAGAGCATGAGGAGGAGATGGGATTTCTCCTGAGAGGGAGTTGTTGGACAACCACAGCCTTTGTAGGTTGGGCAGAAGAACTACTTCCAATGGAATAGTTCCACTCAAAAGATTGTTTGACAGATCCAGCCAATTCAACATGGAAAGCTTGGATATCTCTGATGGGATCATCCCCTGAATGTGATTGCCTCGGAGATCGATTTCCGATAGATTAACACTTAGATTGCCAAGAGATGCAGGTAGTTTACCTCCCAGGTTGTTCCCTGCCAGCTCAAGTTCCTCCAGATGAGTCAGTTTGGAGATGGCATTGAAGAAAGGGACAAGATTGGAGTTCTGATCATCACTGGAGAAGTTGTTGTTGGAGAGATGAAGAATCTTCAGAAAAGACAATTGCATCAAGGTTTCTGACGGTAATCTGCCACTCAAGGAATTGTCCTCAACATCAATTTCCTCCATGAGGGTCGAATTAGACACAGAGGCTGGGAAGCTGCCAGTGAGCTGGTTTGAGTACAGAAGAAGGTTCTGCAGAAGAGGAAGATGGTTTCCGAGCTGTGGAGGAATGAAACCAGTGAACCGATTAGTGGAGAGATCCATGTAGCTCAACTGCGAGCAATTGTACAAGAACTTGACGGGAAGTCTGCCATGAAGCTGGTTACTGCTGAGGTCGATGTATCGAAGCTTCGCAAGCATGGCGAAGCTCTTGGGGATCCTCCCTTGTAATGTATTCCCTTGCATGCCAAGCAGGCTCAACAGAGACAGAGATCCAAGTTCAGTTGGAATCCGGCCATGGAACGAGTTCAAGGACAAGTCAAGCCATGCAAGGCCAGACAGATTCGACAAAAATGGCGAGATTGTTCCTCCCAAAGATTTACCTCTAAGATCGAGTCTGATCACTCTTTCAGGTTTCATACCACAAACGATGCCACTCCACCAGCAGACATAGGTGCTCTCACTCCAATTGCCAAGAACGTTTTCGGGATCGACAACTATGCCTTTCTTGAACTCCAAAAGTGCAACTTGCTCGATCTGAATAGTGTCACTCTGATAGAAGGGATGAACAGAAGAGAGGAGGAGGAGGAGGAGGAGGAGAAGTTTGGCTAAGACAACTGCACAGTAATCCATTTTGACAAAACTCGTTACTGTGACTTGCTATACTCTTCTTGAGCAATGGTGCCATGGAACTCCACATGAATTCACATAATGAGTGCCAACTAAAATGGTGGAGACTGGCAATGGAAAGGACTGACATGTGAACTGCTTAGTGGATGTCCAGATCAATGTAATGACTCCGAGTCAACCGATAGAATAAGAACAATAGATGAGACACTCAGACACAAAAGTGTGGTATGAAACTGGTCTTACTCTTCAGTGGAAGCTGAATGTAGTGTGCGCTTCATGGATGGCTAATCTTTGTCTTCCACCTGCACTCATGGCTAGAGTGGAGAAAACAGCAAGATCTTGTGAATCTTATATAGTCAACTCTCGATGCTTTTTATGTCAAAAGAATTCCTAGTAAGCTTGCTTTCTTTGCAATTACTTGTCGAGGACTCGATACGAATCATGTCATCAAGCTCCCTGTTGTAGCTTCTCTGCCATGCCCTCCCACCACTGTAATACATTGCCAGTGCTGCTTTTTTGACTTTGTGAAGAACTAATTAGGAAATGGACTATTAAAAAGAACTTTACCAACTGCTACTGCACATCAATATTAAATGCTCGATAAAGACATTTCAGCTTTTATCAGCTCAGATTGATGCAGAATTTAGAGAGACAGAAGATAAAGATGGAAAGCACACATTTGGTCATTCCTGTTTGTGCTGATAGTGGAGAGAGCAATCCGTAGCTCTTTTTCATGGTGGCCTGTGAAAGATCCTAATGCCTTGATGATCCATCTCTTTCAGGCCTTTGTTCCTACTTCTCATCATCTTGCTTCAGCCAGTAAAATCTCAGCATGCTCTGATGATGGTGCATGTACTGGCTTCATGTTGCCAAATTATCGTCAAAAAATTCACTGTTGCCTATAGAAATACTTAATTAGATGGCAATACATTGATACAACACATGAGCAGTAAATAATCAAGTAAAATATAATTCATAAAATAATATAATCTATAGATAGTATTATTATAATAAAGATTATACTAGATGAATCATTACTATACGACATAGAGAGAGAGGGAGGTCATAAGCATCTATATCGTAAAATTAGTTTTCGATGAAATAAAAAAGTCATAATCAAAATATACATGTTTTTCTCGTATACTATACTATGGGGAGGATAACAAAAGATATACTTTACATCTCAGAGAAACCATAATCTGAGATTGATTTTCGAATTTATCTTGTTTTGGAATACATGTAGAGATGCCTAATCCTGTGATCAACTCTAACACATCTTTTCTTTCTCATTTTTCTTGAAGAGCTGCTGTAATTTCTCTTTTTAGTGGCTGATGATTAGTTCTTTTCTTTTTCGAAAAGAAAAAGACCATCACCATACCAACATCTATTTGAATTACAGGCATTTCATGAGATTGGGTTGAACCGAACCAGTAGCCCAAAATCGGGTCGAATTCGCCGGATTGGGCTCGGACTCAACTAACGACCCAACCCAACCAAGTCGCATGTACTTCCTCCCGCTGCATCTCATCCGTTAGATATGACACGTGGTAACCATCTGCGATCGCCATATCCTGCGCTATAGGATGAAATCCTGTAGACCAAAGGGGGGATAAGAACGCCACCAAATCGCTGGTTCCTCTCTTCCCTATATATATATATATATATAATTCGGAGCCTTTTCTCCCTTGCTGATAGTTTCTGTTGGCTTCTTCGTTTCGTGTTCCCCTCCTCCCTCACTTCAACGATGCTGTGGAGGTAATGCTTGGAACTCCTCCTCGCGTTCGATTACTAGTTTCTGTTTGTTCTCTGGACCTGGATTCTTGATCGGTGCGCTGTTTTTGACCGGTCCTTGATCTTGTCGTGATTGATTTGGCGTTCTACCATTTTGCTGTGTTTAGATTGTGAATTCTACCGGCGAACCTTCAGAGGACAGCATGAGTTCGCTGAGTCTTGCTGCTGGTCCGGACATTTGTGAGTCGAAGCAGCGTAATCCCTTTCGGAACTCCAATCTGTGTGCCGTGGATTTGCTTGGCGTTATCTCATCGATATCGTGTTCTAGCATCAGGTTCACAGCGATCAGGAAGGAATTTGCTGGGGATAGTTTCGTGGTTGCCGGTCGATTTGGATTGTGTGCTAAACCGGGAGTTAGATTCAAGAACTACAAAGTTTATGGCTTGGACGGTATCGATCGGTCCGTTTCGACCGTTGACTCTGTCAAAAAGACTGAGGCTGCTCAGATTGGTGATTCGGTAACCTCGGAGGCGAATATGACCCTTAATAATCCCGTTCCAAAAGTATTGCAGCTCCAGGGAAAGAATGCAGGTCGAAAGAGTGGAAGAAACATATGGAGTCGACTCCAGAGAATGCAGAAAGCATCACAACATAAAGTTTCGAAGATTGTTTCCGGTAGGAATTGTTCATCATTTGAGGACAAGATCAGTGATGGTGACCTAGAGGCTGTGATATCTGGCATTCATCCTGGTTCTAGTGTGGATCGTTGTAACTGGGTTCTAAAGGTGCTTGAGAAGAGAAGCGAGGAGAAGACTGTGGAGTTCTTTGAATGGATGAATTGTCATGGAAAGTTGAAGGAAAATACTGATGCATACTGCTTAGCCCTGCGAGCATTGGCTAGGAAGGAGGATTGGTCTAGAGCCATGATGTTGCTTCAAGAAATGACTTCTGATGAGTGTGAATTGAATGCTCAGGCATTCAATTCATTGATATATGTCTGTGCCAAAAGGGGACTGGTCGGATGGGGGACAAAGTGGTTTCACATGATGTTGGAACAAGGTATTCGTCCTAATGTTGCTACCATTGGCATGCTTATGGGACTTTTCCAAAAGAAATGCAGCCTTTCGCAGGCTGAGTTTGCATTTGGTCGCATGAGAAGCTTGAAACTGAAGTGTACCACTGCATACTCGGCCATGATCGTCATTTACACTCGTCTGGGTCTGTATAACAAGTCAGAGGAGGTCATCAGTGTGATGGATAAGGATGAAGTTCTTCCAGATTTGGAGAATTGGTTAGTGCGTCTCAACGCTTACAGTCAGCAAGGCAAGATAGAAGAGGCTGAGACTGTGTTGAAGTCAATGCTTAAAGCAGGGATCTCTCCGAATATTGTTGCATATAATACCTTGATCACTGGGTATGGAAAGGTAGCTAATATGAAGGCTGCAAAGCATCTGTTTCAAGCCCTTGAAAGTGTTGGTTTAGATCCAGATGAAACAACCTATAGATCCATGATTGAAGGTTTTGGCAGAACTGACAATTACAAAGAGGCATTGTGGTACTATGACAAACTCAAAAATTCAGGATTTCAGCCAAACTCTTCCAACTTCTACACTCTAATTAATCTACAAGCAAGACATGGAGATGAAAAAGGTGCTGTTCAAACTCTTGAAGACATGAGAAGGGCAGGTTGCCAGTATTCTTCAATAGTGAGTAGCCTTATTCAGGCGTATGAAAGGATTGGAATGGTAGAAAAGGTGCCTCACATACTGGAAGCTTCTTTTTATGAGAATATTTTGTTGGATCCTACATCATGTTCTATTTTAGTTATGGCCTATGTGAAATGTTCATTGCTAGATGATGCTTTGAGAGTTTTACAGGACAAAAGTTGGGAAGATTGTGATTTTGAGGAGAACTTGTACCATTTGTTGATATGTTCTTGCAAGGAGGCTGGTCATTTTGAAAATGCTGTAAAGGTATACATGCAGATGCCAAATTCTGAGATCCATCAGAATCTTCATATAACGTGTTCTATGATTGATATTTACAGTGCCATGGGCAGATTTACTGATGCTGAGAATCTTTATCTAAAATTGAAAGGCTCTGGTGTCACCTTTGATATGGTTGCCTATAGTATAGTGGTGCGGATGTACATCAGAGCTGGATCACTGGAGAATGCATGTGTTGTTCTGGAAATGATGGAGAAAGAGAAAGATATTGTTCCAGATATTTATCTTTTCCGTGACATGCTTCGAACTTACCAAAAGTGTGGCATGACACAGAAGTTGGCAAACGTTTATTACTGGATACTTAAAAGTGGCATTGCATGGGATGAGGCAATGTATAACTGTGTCATAAATTGTTGTGGGCATGCTTTACCAGTGGATGAGCTTTCAAGGTTGTATGAGGAAATGATGCAGAATGTACATGCTGCTAACACCATTACTTTCAATGTAATGCTAGATGTCTATGGAAAATCCGGGCTGCTTAAGAAGGCTAGAAAGGTATTTTGGATGGCTCGCAAGCAGGGTTTGGCAGATGTTATATCTTACAATACCATGATAGCAGCACATGGGAAAAGCAAGGATATTAAGAGTATGAAATCTGTTATCCAGAAAATGCAGTCCGCAGGTTTTCCTGTTTCTCTTGAGGCATACAATAGCTTGTTGGATGCATATGGAAAAGACAACCGACTGGAGGAGTTTAATGATGTTTTGCAGAAAATGAAGGAATTAAAATGTGTTTCTGATCATTATACATACAACATTATGATAAATATCTACGGGAGAAAGGGTTGGATTGAAGAGGTCTCTCGGGTGTTTGCTGAGCTGAAGGAGCATGGACTGGAACCTGATTTGTATAGTTACAACACGTTGATCAAAGCATATGGAATTGCTGGAATGGTGGAGGAGGCTGTTAATGTTGTGCAAGAAATGAGACGAAAAGGAATCAAACCTGATCGAATAACATATACTAACCTTATAACTACCCTCCAAAGGAATGAAAATTTCCTGGAGGCTGTTAAGTGGTCACTCTGGATGAGGCAGATGGAACGCCAAGTTGAATTCTGCCCGTCATTAACATGACTGCCAAATCTGCCAAGCAATTGGATGTTGTGATTGACAATCGTTGTGGACTCAGCCCAACTGTGTCACAAATAGGACTTTCATTGGGAAAAAAGAACTGACACAAGGTACCTGTATTAACTTCCACTTTGACGACGACATCAACCATTCTCTTCAAGATCTCGTCAATATTGAAGCCTGTGACAAGTTAGTTCCTTTGCTAGTTTTCCAGTGTACATTTCTTAATCTTGGATCATAAATTTTGAACTTCTAAGTTAATTGCATAGTTTGGTACCATTTCACATGATTACCTCTAATTATCAGCTCAAATATTGATCTTCAAGGATTCATGATTTTGTTACTTAAATCTTGCCTAGCTTATATCCAATTATTTTATGGAAGAAATAAAAGGGAAAAACTACATGGTTCTTTTTATGGTATTTCATTTGACGTACATCCTGATTTGCTAAGGATCAATATTTCTTTAACTGCAGGTGTGATGAAACTTGATTCATTTCCAAAGTGTGTTCATTAGCACACATGATTACCTCCAATTATCAGCTCAAATATTGATCTTCAAGGATTCATGATTTTGTTACTTAAATCTTGCCTAGCTTATATCCGATTATTTTATGGAAGAAATAAAAGGGAAAAACTACATGGTTCTTTCTATGGTATTTCATTTGACGTACAACCTGAATTACTAACGATCAATATTTCTTTAACTGCAGGTGTGATGAAACTTGATTCATTTCCAAAATGTGTTAATTAGCACATTGACAAGTAGTTCTTTTTCCCACTAGTGAAATTTTATGGTAGCGAGAACCATCTAAAACTGATACTAAATATGTGTTGCAGTTGCATCTACTTAAGGACTTGAAGTTATCAAAATTTAACTTCCTTACTGTAAAGGTGAATCCATATCTGCATATTCTATCCAAAATTTCCCAGAGACATTGGAGAGGATTTTTCTTTGGACATATATGTCCATTTATTTGGATGAAAGCCTGTAGTCGCTCTTTCTCATTGTTTGTTTCTCTTCCTCTCTCATCCCCTTTGCATGGTATATTTTGGAAAATATCATGTGATATTTTTCTCAATTGTCTGCATAGTTAGATACAACTTATATCTAATTCTATCAGCATACAGTGAATCAAACAGGACTCTATTCTAATCAGAGGTTACTGTTGTTTCCAGCAGATAGAACTGAAATTTTTTGCAAACTGAAGAGATGACAAACTATAATTCTGGAATTTGCTAATACTCCCAAGTATACCACTGTGTCTTTACAGAGTCTAGTCAGTCTCAACAAGGAAGAACTTCTTTGAGTTGTTAAAGTAATAGATCGAAAAGAAAGATTCTCAAGGTTGGGGCAGCCCTTCACTAGAAAATATTCTTTTCCATGAAGGTTATTCATAATCTGAATATATTCATGGGCTATGAACTCGTCAGCTGCACCAATATCAAGGTTTATTTGTAGATCCAATGATGCAGCACAAAAAGAACAAATAGGATAAAGAGAATAAAGAGTAAAGGAGATAGAAGACTGGTAGGAAACATAGAGTTACGAGTTGGATTTCATGAGAGGCAGAACAAAGAAGATGGTCATCAAGTCTTTTACACCCTAAAATTAAACTGAAATTAGACTACACCCAACCCTAATTAAATCTAAACCCAAATTGAATAGGTGACCAGCTACCTAGATGCATCAATCATTTTCACTGTGTTAATTTCGGTCCAAGATCAACCCATTGTTGCAAGTCTTCACTTGTTTGAGAAAATCCCCATGATATGGTGATAGAGGATTTACTTCCATCATTGTTCAACATGTCCAACATTCCTTCCTACTATAGGCATTATATCACAGTCAAGTTTTAGAGGATGGATCTTCATGGTTGCTTGAGTTGATAGAATTGTTTAATGATTTTTATGTGTATATGGTGGAGGATGATTCAACCATGGTTTAATATTTGGCCTAAACCAGTACGAACTGCTTGATCCAACCATGGCATAATGTTTTGTCCAAACCAATATGTACCACACATACTAGTCTGGGTTTGAATCGGAACATGGACTGCCTAATTTTAAGTGGTCCACATGTGGTACATGACTTGCTGTCTGGTGAATCAGGTGAACTGGGCTTACTGTCCTTTTTTTTTTAAACTCTAATAAAAAACACTAATAACCCCCTTCCTTACCTTTCTCATTTGCACGATTCCCCTTCTCACGTTTTTGTCGCCGCCCTCTCGTTGTCGCATCGTATGTTTGCTGTCTGCCAGTTCATCTAGTGCTCCTCTCCTCTGCCTTCGCCCCCTCTTCTTTTGGCCTCCTCTTCTTTTTTGTTGTCTCCTCCCACTCATCTTGTTAACCGATCTTCCTCCTTTTCTCCTCCATCCTTTTCATTGTATCACAGTATATACTGTTACAAACTGGACCCATACTAGTATATACTTGACACATATTAGTCCGACTATGGACTGGCACGAGTCTGGAACTTGAAATGTAAAACCGTGTATCGGACCTTCATGATGATATTTATTATAATAAAGGTTGTCTAGTAGCTAAGGGTATCATTGTAATTTTGTTTATTGGCTACGAAAAATGATCGATATGCTCTTGGTGTAATGTTCATTCACGGTCACAGATCATCACTTAATTTAGTCAACGAGCTTCTCATGCGTCACACTATTCGTGGAGCTCGTTTAATCATTATTGGACCAATTACATGGCAAACTTAGCTATGTTGTATAACCGTTTAGAGCTATGGGTTCTACCTTTAGTGCCTAAACAGAGAAGTATTACTTGGAATATTTAGTTTAGTGTTAGTTAACCCTAACACAATTGTTCCTCCTAGCAAACATTGCCGCATGGCTATGTTGTCATCCACATTATACTGCAGAGTATTCAGCGTAAAGTTACTAAATGTGGAATAGACAGTAAAGTTATATTGATTTCTAGTGTTGTGCAGGATATTAGCTTTTATATATTAAAGGTTTGTGGGATTCTAATACATATCAGATTAAGGTTTGTCATTCCTTATTCAGAGATGTTATTTTGCAGGAACATAAATATCGAATACTTCTTTGTTGGAGTTTCTGTATTTTAAGATGACTGAATTGTGGATTTAAATTGCCTATGCAGGTGGATAATGCTTGCCGATTATTGTGCGTGGTGTTTCTTCTTCGCTGGGGACACCCGGAGAGGGCAGCTTGAGATCGGATGAGAACAAGATACTGGTGCTGGCATGAGTAACTTGGTTGGTGTTGAGAGGAAATAATTCTCTTGCTCGAATATAAATTTGTACTCAGTGGAGGTTGTTTAAAGACACCAATAGTTATATGTACAGTACAGAGGTTGCATCCTATTAATTCAATTACATGATCAAAAGTATCTCTAGTTATGCAACACACAGAGATTGCATGGCTCTTAGGCTCACCAGCCTCCATGGCTATCACTCTCATCCCTATTTACCTCATGAATGCCTCTATTCTATGCTTCAATCTTATGAGACAATATAAATGGTATACTATGATGGATAGATTGGTAATGTTTAAAGCACGTACTATGCCGATAGGTGGTATCGGTCCACGGGCGGATCGATTGGTATCGCTATATCATATGTCGGTATTAAAGATTTTCTTTAGATTTTTATCCTAATTTAATGATAAATTTATTATATTTAATTAAAAATGATGTGTATATGAGGCGCAAATAAATGCATAAGAATATGATTAATCTTAAATACTCTCAATTTGAATCTAAATGTAAGAAAACAGACATAATTGGACTAATACAAGATAATGATCTTAATCATGTTTAATATTTGTAAGTATGTGTATTTATATGTCTTTGATTATATGAAATAATAAATAAAACATAGAAAGAAGTTTTATAACTTCAAATTGAAAATTTTCACTATATTGCAGAGTGTAAGAAAAAATAAAAAAGGAGGATGAGTGAAAGAGGAGAAAGGACGGGATTTAAAATGCCTTATTGGGGTCAAACTTGATAAGATTTAGGCTACTAACGAGAAAATTTTGGATCGACAATGATCTGTATTAATTGATATAACATGAGCTTAAATCATATTGATCGATATTTAACTCTTTTCTATTTATTTCTTGGTGTCGCTTGAAACGAGCTGATCTACGTACAAAATGAGTTTCGAGTCGCGGACCGGTACATACCATTTGGAGTTGTACATCAAACATTAATTTTAAGTAATATTATGCAGTGGATAACTCTTATATTTAAATCTATAAAAAACATCTCGTACGTAATTTAACATAAATGATAAAATTAGCCAAAAACTAACGCCAGGAAGAAACCCTATCAGTAACCTCGAGAGGCTGCTTCCACAGATCACTGTCGATCCCGTCGATATCATATGTTCCTCGAACTAATTCCGTACGCACCCAATCAAACTCATCAGTTCTAGAATTACATGTCATCACTCGTGCAAACAAAGTATTGTGCACCCTTTCATCAAACATACGTGCAGCAAACTCACGCATACCTGTCCTTTGATTCACCAGTGAAATCTTTATCATAAAATCCATGATGGAGAGGGGCATGAAGATGTCCTGTAACAAGGATCTTGGGAATTCATTTTATTTTTCATTCGAAACGTTGATCTTTCAAAAGCATCTAAGATGGCAACAGCAACTAGAAAATAGAGAGTTTTTGAAGTATTTCTAGTGATATATACATACATGTTGGCGAAAACCAAGCTATCTCGTTTCCTTTTCTTCATCCTCAGATATATTGAACAAGAACTTCGGCATCGAGGCTATTCGAGGAAGTATCAGAAGCTCCCCAAAAGACTCTTTTCTTGTGATGGGTGGTTGTGCAGCATCAACAAGCTCATCATCGGATCCAGCATCAACTTGCGCTTCAGCACTGTCCTTCGTTTGAGAATTCTGCGTCGTGCCTGTTCTGTTATCTTTCTGGAGCAGACAGCAAAGAGAATTAACCCTTGAGATGATGGATTGTTCGTCAGAAGTGGCAGAACACTGAGAATCATTGAGAAGATACTGCGCTATATCTTCCAGAACCTCTTTGTTCGGTAGAGCATCGCTAGGCAAGGACGGATTGACTGAAGTCATCTGCTCGGAAATGTGTTGACCTAGGTGGTTTACAAGATCAGTCATGGACATAGATCCTCTTAGTCCAGGCAATTTCAATTGTTCCCACCAGTCAGGACCCCTTTCTTCCGTCTCCTTACTAGTGTTGTTTTCTTCAGTTGACCGAGCTTCGACTCCTACAATGATAGTTTATGTTCATATTTAGAAAAAAAAAAAAAAATCAAAGAACTACTGGAAAGATCATCAATACTGAAAGTAACCTGTATAAGAAAGCAACACACAGTTATCGGAAATTAATAGTTCCAAGTATAGCCTCCTCCTAAGGTATATATCACCCAACTTAATAAAAGATCGCTAACATCAGAGGGTGGTAACAACTGCCGAAAGACAACTGTACATAAGCTGGGTGATGAATGCAAACTTTTCTACTAGGTTAGTAGCAGCTACATACTGCTAATATCACATCAATTTTCCCAAATGACAAATATCAAACTTGACTGACGATTACAGACACCAGATGATATATCAAGCAGGAAAGCAACATGACATATGCAGGGCTAAGATATCAGTCCTCCAAGAAAAGAAAGCAAACATGATAAGATGATCTAGTATATCAAAATAAAGAAGTTGAAAAATGAGTATGCCAACAACTTATTTTTTGATATTAAACTACAACAGGTGAAAATGAAAAAAAATTGACCGAAAGAAAAAGGTCCAGTACATACACTCAAAAAGCCTTAACTGCAGAGTTGAGGAACCCTTTATTTGTTGTTTTGTAACTTGTCATCGAGCATGTAGGTGCGATGATCAAGTATCTTCTTTTAAATGGGAACACGTTTATGAAAAAGGATTTCTATATGCATGATGTGCAAAAACAAAATTCTACCACTAGCTTCCTAATCTTACCAAAGATATGCGATACCAGAAAATGGTTAAATTTCAGAAGGTTACAACTGAAGGCATGTGTTTCATTAGCAAACTAAAATCAAAAAGCTAACTTTTACCATAGATCAAAAGGTTAGATGAATTACCAAGAAATAAATCATATAAAACCAATCCCATAACATACTGCTAGAGCTAATCTCATTACCTGAGCATGGTGAAGGAGTATCTTGTGGATCAAAATCTGGTGTCCTCCCAAAAGAATCCCGTACTTCACTCTTATTGGACAGTGATGAAGTTGCACAAGGAGAACCAGATTCACAAAAGCCTGAGAAAGTAGCTCCACAATCTTCCTTACTGCCATCAAGTATATGGCTTTTAGAATCACTGTGATCCTCAAAAACAGAGTATTGAGGTTCAAAGTATGGAGAATCTAACACATCTGGTTGCTGACTAAGTAATTTTAATCTAGGATCGCAATCAATGAGCTTCTCAAAATTCTTGCTCAACAAGCCTTGGGGACATTGAAGGAGATGCCTCCTGCAGCAAGAATTTTGATACAGTTACAATGAGAACACATAGAACTTGATTGAGGTAAAGAAAAATTGATGTTTCTTACAGTATGGAAAACATTTATTTCCCAAAGGAGCACAACAATATATTTGATTCAAATCAAGAATCAACATCTCAAATGGGTTGAAGCTTTCAATTCTAATGAAGCCTAAAAACTAGTTAAGCAATGGTATGTCATCATTTCTAATTTTGTACTTATACGATAAGATACAAGCAATCTTTCTTCTTATCTCTTGATTTTTCTATTTTTTGTAGTACATTTCGAGGCAAATTCTGTATGCAAATGTCATGCTAAAAATACAAAAGAGATAGGAAAAATTCTTCAAAGAGAAAAACATGGAGAAGACAGGGAACGAAGGAGACACAGAGCATAGTGTGGTCATTATGTTATACTTTTGTATCATTATTTTTTCCTTTTTGTGCATGGTGGGTTCTTGTCTTATTTTTTCAGTTATGGTGAGAAGGAGATACTAGATGCCATGCATATTCTTTCAAGTACAGGGTTCTTATTTTCAGAAAAGAAAACATAAAGGACATTGAAGAGCCTCTACATGAAGTTGGGAATTGGGAGAAAATCTATGACAATCAACATAGGCTAACACAAATAATTAATGCCAAAAGTGAAAGAAATCACTGTGATTAGTTTTCAACTTCAAATCTACAGACTTGTGGCAGATGAGGTATTCAATATGACTCTAAAAAGGAAAAACGAATGCAGCTGCTTATTAGCTTGGCATCTCAAATATTTCCCCATAACTGACTGAGACAATGTGTTATATTTAAATTAATATGTAGGTTAATATTAATGATAATATCCTAAATTGGTTTTAATTAACAGTTGGACGTGGAGATAGGATTTCTTTTTTTATCTTGTTGGGATATGTGAGTTGGGATCATAGCATTCAGAGTGCATAAGAGAGAGGAAATATTAGAGACAAATGTCATCGAAAATGAGGGAAGCAATCACAATGCCATCAGAGATAGAGCGAGGTAGATGCCATATCGAATCTGAAATCATTCCTATATATTCCGTTTATCAAATTTTGTCTTAATGACTATCCCACTATCAGAAACTGCTAGTTAATTTAGATATTTTAATTAATAATTTAGTGTATTTTAATAGTAGTGATGAGACGTGGGTATGATGTATTTTGTTAATTATTAGAAATAACGATCATATTGATTTAGATCTTGCTCTGCAAGTACAATTTCTTTTATGATGAGCTTATGAACAGTATGACCTCATTGTATGAGATGGGTCATATCGCAATGCCTCAGATGGACCTAGCAATGACAATGATACATGGGAAAGGAAGAGGTTGAAACTGTACTGCAATCTGGAACTAGGAACTGAATGCTTTTTTCTCCAAAGAATGTGTTACAAGGTTGTAATATACTTATAACCAGTAATCATCAATCATGAATATATGGAAAAGCCATTGAGAAGTATTTCTTCATCACATGATTTAAACTAATCTTGAAAAAAGAAACCAAACCATCTACAACATACTTCCCACTTCATAGTGCCTAATATGAGTAAGATTTTAAAATTCTAAGAATTCACATGTCAACTCTATGTGAAAAGAAGTAAGATTGGTTAAAGAATAAAATGGATTATGAAAAGACGCCAGCTGCTGTTCAGTAATACCCCATGGACTTGTATATCACATTTTCATTAACGTCTGTCAGTACTGTCACGGACTTAGCTGGTTTTGCCTAAGTCGTGCGGCACCCTTGCGTGTCCGTCCACAAAGGTCAGCCTCCCCGAAGCCTCTCATGTCCCTTAGGACCCACAAACGAGAGAACGGGTTAGAGAAAATGCCTCATTCGGGATCCACAAGCAAACATTTCCGAAAACACTTCATAGACAAAGCAAATTACAAACAGACTTTACAAGCTCTGAATAGTTGCACAACAAAGGGTAAAATGGTCCATTACAGACCGAATAAAATGGGACTATTAAGCCTTCGGCTGTCCCTCTACATGCTAGTCAAAGTATGAACATACCAAAAGACACGGACATACATAAGCATTACATCAAACATCTTGTTTAGAAGTTTGTCCGTGACATTCTCCCCCACTTATTCCTTCGACGTCCTCGTTGAAGCCTTTATCGACACTGCAACTCCTCGCCTTTTGCTGAGTCTTCAATCTTCTGCTCCAGCAACAATGCGCCTCTTGGCTCCCAACTGCTCTCCGCTGTTGTTTTTGAGTAGTCGAACCTTTGATCCGCCATGCTACTTCAACTCACCAATGACTCTGACTCTGGTGTGGGGTTAGCTGAGTTGTGTTGATCCCTGTTGATTTCTGCGGATCCTCCAAATGAAGAAAAAGAACATCCTTACTACACCAGTCTCTCAAATGCCTCATGCTGTTTGAACTGGGTGGATGCTTGTTGCAGCTTTTAACGAGCATCGTCTCGCAAACTTCTGAAGTTTTGAGTCCTTCCTCCACAAAATTTGCTCATTGACTCTTCTTTCACTTAGTTGTCGCTTCCAAGTAAGTTCGCATCACTTCCGCTTTCGATTGGTATTTCGTTGGGAAATGAAGCGGACAATCTACTCTCAGTAGTACTGATCACCGTTGGTGAGGATTTGACAACTATCGTCTTCCATTATCTTCGAAGAGTCTTTGAACTTGTGCAGAGCTCCTCTGCTGGATAGATAAGAGAATTGGGGTACTCGGTTTCGCCCATTCTCTTAAGGATTGAGAAGGCAAAAGTTACTTGACTTCGCCCGCCTCCTCGAGGTTGTACTCCATGCATCGAGCTGGTTACTGGCCTCCGCCTGCTCTTTGCTCACACTTCTGAAGCACTTGAAGTGTTTGCACTCCTTGCATTGAGTTAGCTACTATGATTCACCTTCTCAATGCCATCGAACTTCTGAAATGCAAGGAGTTTTCACCCCAACTTGGAGTAATTCTCTAATAGATTTGGTCGTCTCTGGGATTGTACTGTCTTCTCCATCAACCCTGCCGCCTACTCCCCTAAGTAGCAAAGGTACAACACCGCATACTGCCTACTTCGTTCCTTGGTCATGTACTCTTGCATTACCTGAAGTCCTTCACTTTCGGCTATCTTGATGAGAAGCTTGTTGACACCGGTCTTACGAAGTTCCTTGGCCTTTGCCCTTCAGCCTTGTCTCGGTACTTGGAGATTTGCCTCTGCATGCTCCGCCTCCTCGGCCCCTTTTACGACCAAGCGCTCTCCCTCCATGAGAGCAAGGGATCAATGCCTTTCACGGAAGTCCCGCCTTTGCGGTACCATGGCGCTGCCATGCCCATGGCCCTACTATCCGTCGCCTCGCATCTGCATCCCTTTTCTTCACGATCAGTAGATATGTCTCCGTGGCACTCCTCTGAGTTCACCTCCATTCTAACTGATGCTTGATTTTGGGTAGCTAAGTCCCTCTGGACTCGTCATCACTTCCTCGCCCTTTTCAACCCGCTGCTTCAACACCTCTGTGTTATCCAAGCAGCTCCCTTTGGTCAATGGAAAGGCAGACTGCAACTCCCATGCATGGCCTCTACCATCACGTTGTAGGGTTTGCACCGATTCTGTTCTCCTTAGCTTCCTTGGTAGCAACGTTCGCTTACTCGATCTTGTCCTCTGATAAGTCGGGCACCTTTAAGCGAATATGAGCTCTGGAGCAATCCAACTCTCCAGCTGCTTCGATCATACCTCTGTATGATCAAGTCCCTCCCATGGGACTCACTGGTACTTGCATTCAAACTTTTCCCTTGGTGGAACACAGCCCCCATATGCTGATGACCAAGGCTTTTATCCGATGCAAAATTCGATGTACGCACGGAAGACCCGCCTCTGCGGTACCATGGCCTTCACTCCTTGAATCCATAGCCCTTCTTGCCGTCATGTTGTTCACCGAAGTGGAGTTTCCAATAGCTCCCAATCATACCTCCGTATGATCTAGTCCCTCGCGGGACAAGTTCATGTGTATCGCATTGCCACGAACTGTTCCACCACGATCCGCTGCACCATGTCGCCTCCTGGTGACATCTCCATTCTGATCCTTGTGGGATGAACTCGAATTGTGGTCCCTCCATGTGTGGCCTCTGCCAATACATCGCAAGGTCTCTTCCACCTTCGATTTTGTTCGCTCCTTTGACAATCAACTTTCATCCACCCACTCTTGGGTCACACCTAGATGAAGCACCGCTCTAGGACAGTCCGTCGCCTAGTAGCTCCCGAAGTCCCCCGACTTCGCTGCAATTAGTGCACCATTGTCTGGATCCTGGGCCTCTGCCCCTACCAGCACAATCTTCGCCGTGCACCGCTTCCTTCATGGCAACTTGAATGGCAACACTGTGGCATATTCTTCAAGAGTACCCGCCTCTGCGTTCTCTTGTCCTGTGCTAAGGCCTTCCGAACCCAGCTTCGCCTCCGCAAATTGAGTTGCCTTAGTTCCTCCATCACATGCTTTTCCGAGATAAGGTGCATGTGCCCAGAAGCTCCATTCGTCTTTGGCACCATGCAAGATGACTCCGCTCCGTCAGAATAAAGGATCCTACTCTTGCCTCTACAAGAGTTCATATCCTTGACCTCTGTCCAAGGAAAGCACTATGCCTCCGCTCCATGTTCCATCTTCTATGCTAGCATCCTTTATGCGGCTTGGGTACTTTGCCAAGTTACACCCAAGTTGCTCCGCTCCTCGTTTTTGCATTGAGTTGATGGTGGCCCTCGTGCCCACCATTCCACGGGTCAGCCCTCCCTTGAGTCCGATCTCATATCGACTCCAAGTGTGCCTTCATTTGTGTTGCTTTGGGTCACTCCCCCACTTGATCTTGCAATGCATCCACCAATGCATTCTCTCGAGTGAGATCATGCGACAACTCCTCGCCGCTTGCTCAGTCCATTGAGCTTCATGGAGTTGTTTGTTGAGGTACTCCTCCTCAACTTGTGAGGTCCGTCCCATATGATTCTCCCTCTGGAGAGTCGAGACTTATCCCTCCTGGATAACTGTCCCATTGGAGTAACATCTCTCTTCGTTTCGGAGACCACCATCCCCTTGGACTACTCCGATCTGTTGAACAAACTGTGCATTGTTCTGCCTCCTGGAAACGCACTTGCTAGATTGCGACTCCACGTCAATACAGCCCCCGCTGCACCACTCAAGGCCTAGCAACATGCTGAACTCGTTGCACACTTCAACCTCCTACGGACGTATCATTTACATGCTGAAGAGAAAGTTTCAATGCTCCATGGCGCCGAGTTTCGGTCGCCTTGGGATGGCCGCAAAAATTCCATCGTCCACATACAAGCCCATGTATGAGTACCGAATTCTTTGAGTTAGCAATTCCCCTCACCTCTGTGAGCTTTGCACAACTCTTACGGTCGTTGAGCAACTCATTCCACCTTGTATAGTCTCATCCTTTACCAAGCGCCTCGCTTGCCTTGAGCACCATCAAGTATAGTTGTCAACGTTGAGCCGTAGCTCAAACTCAACCATCCCAAGCTTTGTGTGCTCCGCATTCTTCCAGGCTTGCCTGTTCTCGTGGTGCCTCTTGCGCAAAGGGTTGGTCATTCCTCTGAATGTCAATCTCAGATGCCCGCTCCTCCGAGCGACTCCTTTTCCCTACATCTCCATGCCCGTTTTCCCCCAAACGATCGCGCGTGTGTTGACTGCCCTCAACGCAGCCCCGCTAGGTCCCCTACATTTGCATACTAAGTGTTTCTATGAGTGCTTGTCCCGCTCTGATACCATATGTCACGGACTTAGCTGGTTTTGCCTAAGTCGTGTGGTACCCTTGCGTGTCCGTCCACAAAAGTCAGCCTCCCCGAAGCCTCCCATGTCCCTTAGGACCCACAAACAAGAGAACGGGTTAGAGAAAATGCCTCATTCGGGATCCACAAGCAAACATTTCCAAAAACACTTCATAGATTACAAACAGACTTTACAAGCTCTGAATAATTGCACAACAAAAGGTAAAATGGTCCATTACAGACCGAATAAAATGGGACTATTAAGCCTTCGACTGTCCCTCTACATGCTAGTCAAAGTATGAACATACCAAAAGACACGGACATACATAAACATTACATCAAACATCTTATTTAGAAGTTTGTCTGTGATAGTACGGTGGGCCTAGATAATGAAATACCCCGACAAAATCATATAAATGGACCGGTATACAATCATCTTAAGCACTATCACTTTGACATCAACATAAAATTCAAGCTAGCTTTAATGAAAATAGGTAAAAAATAGAATGCATAATTCTCTTGTGAATTATTTACAAGCAAGCCCCAGATATGGACATCAACAGGAGAAACACAGTCCTTTATATAGAATGTCAAATTGTCAACACAAAGCAAAAATGCTAAGCTCAAGTCTGTTCAAATTACTTTCCCCTTTTTCAAAAAAATAAAGGACTATTCAATCATGCAAGCCATTATTAGCATATAATATCTCATCAACAAGTGCTCAAGAATCCAACTGCAGGGCCAAAATGTGCCCTCTTGAAAATATTTAAGAAAACCAAAACTTAGCAATGTATATAAAGAACCAAAAAGGACTAACAGAAAGACAAAGCTGTTTATATAGTGTCAGTCAGAGCAAGAAAAATAAAAATTACCTATATATGCTTGCCTGACCATTGGTAAAGTCTTGAGTTGCTTGCCAGAGTGTATGCTTTCTTGGCTGAGGATCAGTCTCCCGGAAAAAAAGTGGTGGTCTTGCCAACTAATAAGCAATCATGGCTTGTTAAAGAGATGATACGACCAACTTAACTTAAACAACACCCATCGACTAAACAAAATCCTACCACAATATCCAAGGTTCCATGGCCACCTTCAGAGAATGTTGCCTTAATTGCAGTGATGTCAGACCAGTGAAATTCAATCTTGCTCTTCAGACCACCTTCGAGAACTTCCCATACAAGTTTATGTTTCGCAAAGTAGCATTTTGCTACTAGATCACCTTCATATCTAGATACACGCTGTTTGCCAAGAGAAGTTGAGTAAACTTTTCCACAGTTTCATACAAAAAGACGATACAATCATACTGTTCAACATCATCATTAATAATTCATAACAATGTGTTGTGCGCCCAGTTAAACTATGTAATTCATGATAGACTAATCTGATTAATCATACACGAAAATCCAGAAATTGAAATTATTAAGTGATATGCTCTCTTGTAGCTGTCTCATTGAACCATTTAACAAGAAGACATGAACACAGAATAAGAAGCAGAGAATACACAGTCAATCTCTACGTAAAATATTTGTAATGTATAGGCAAACAGAAAAAGGAACGGTTTAATACATCATGAATACGGAAATGCACCACAAAAGTGACGCAGAAAATGACTGAATCTTCACATAACAGAAGAGATTAGTAGCATCTTTTCAACATACCACCATATTTGTACCTAATAAAATCCTCACCTCCCATGTCCCGATCCTCAAAAGTGTTGCAGGAAAGTTTGAAGCTTTGATCTTGTTCGACGAGCTCGAAGCAGCTGAGGACTTCAGTTCTTTGTTATCGCCAACCTCCGAGCTACCCAAACTAGTAGCACATGATGTGCCACCCGATTTTGCTTGAGAAAGCCTCATCTGAATCAAATCAGCCAGAGACGGACTCTTCCTGAGTCGAAGGCCCAACGGTCCAGGTTCCTCAAGCACATTGTAGTACATAGCCTGCAGCAAGGCAGGATCAGAAGTTCGTATTACCCCCCTTTATGACCAGACAATTAACGCTATGCAAAAGCTCTGAGAAGACGTATATCAATTTCTTTCTTCCAAATCATGAGATTCGAGTAGAAGTAATAACACAGCGACGATCTGAGAAATAGAGCCACAGATCTACCTGCTGATTTGGATAGCTCGCATCCTTGGATCTCTTGTTGAGAGGGCCGTGTTCGTCGACCAAGGGGTCCTCGATTTCCAGCTTCACGGCCGCGGCCTCCGGGGCAGCGTGCGGGGTGGAATCAACCCGGCGCTTGCCGGCGTCCGGCAACTGAACCATGCCGCTCGAAGATCCCCAAATAGGAAACCCTAGCACACCGATTTCCGCCGGTCCGCCGCCCTTATCCCCTCCGATCTCGAGCGATCTCGGAGAAGAATCGATTGAACCCTAACCCTAATAACAAGAATTCGACGGAAAACGAGGACAGCAATACGTATACAAATAACTCGGATCAAACCCCCAAAGACGGAGAACAATTTCGCCGGAAAGTAGAGGGAAGGCGAGACAAAAATGGCAAATTTAGAATGCGATACTAGAGAGGGGTTCCGAAATAGGGAATAATACCTGACCTAATTTGGTAACTCCACTAGCTGACGGGACTCCCGCGCACGTGGCGTTACCTTTTTCCGAAAATTTCCCCTTTTTATTTTTTTATTTGTTTTATTTTAAAAAAAAATAATTTGACTGACTTCTCCCAATAAAAAAATAACATTTTATTTATTTTATTTAAAAAAATTGATGACTTCGCCTAATAAAAAAAGCTAAAATTTTATTTTTTTATAATTGATAGAAAATATTTCGACATCAATCATGGGTCACTAGCTAACAATCGAGAGTCAATGTGGAGGATAACGCGACATTTGTCTGACATAATAAAAAGCTGAGCTGGCAGTCGACAACCCCTCAATCATTCTCTATCAACCATATGCCACGCGGGGCGGTATGGATCGACGCCACGCCACAGGAGTCTAGATAGGCCAACCCACGCCGTTGGGAGTTATACAGGTCGATCGCTTTATTTGTTTTATTTAAAAAAAAATTTTGATAACTTCGCCCAATAAAAAAAACTAAAATTTTATTTTTTATAATTGATAGAAAATATTTCGATATCAATCATGGGCCACTAGCTAACAGTCATAAGAGAGTCAACGTGGAGGATAGCGCGACATTGTCTAACATAAAAAAAAACTGAGTTTCCATCTAGTTTTAGATAAATCATGTCTTGTATGAATAGGAGTTTCCATCAAGGAGTTATAAATAATTTAGTAACCAAAGGTTAGAGAACATTATCTCTGTTTTGCAAAATTCATAGAGTTAATTAGAACAAATGATTCAATAGGAATTTATACTCCAAATAATTTAAATCAGATATGAACAGAAAGGTTTATGAGTCTAGTTTTCAGTAATCATATTTTACATAAATCATAGATTAAGATTTCTATATGAAGGGGTTAGAACACTTGCCTTAGAAAAATTAGAGTCTCAAATGTGTGGAATTGATGCAAAATCTCAAGCCAAAGCAAAGTTTCTTCACCTTCTTCTACTTCAATTCCTGTTTCTCCTTTAATTACTTAAGTTTAGTTAACACAAGAATTACTAGGTGGCAAGCATGCATGAAAGAAGCCTATGTGTCATTCTTAGAACAAACATAGGTGGCACCAAGCTTAGGTTAGCTAGTGACACATGTCCACCATTTTTTTTAATTTAATATGAATCTTTCACAAATCATATCATATTTTTAGTATTTACATTTAGGTCCCTACATTACAAATAGGCCCTTACAAAATTTTCAAAAATGAGGTATGTTATATGTCGCCTCCACATTTCCCATACAGTATCACTTGTTTCCCCTTATTGTAAAATTTCATAATTAGTTTCACAAAATTTTAGGAAACATCACCTAATGTCATCAACCATTCAATGTCGAGGATGACCTCATAATCATCAAAAGGGAGGAGGAAGAAATCTGCAATTATCTCTTGGTCCTACAGCAACAGTTTCGCCCGCGGGCACCTATCTATGATCATACTTCAAAATTCATCCGTCGGTAACCTTAACATCAAACCTACTGCAATTCTCAATAGGTAAGGCCATCCAAATAGCAACGTTTATGTTCATAAAATTATTAGTACTCCTGGTGTCAATAAGAATGGTGATATGTTATTGCTTTAGAAGTCCTCTCACTTTTATCGTTTGCGGGTTCGCGTAACCGACAAGGGCATGCATCGTAATATCAACCGACTGCTGTTCATCATCCACGACCTCTTTCTCATGCATTTGGACCTCCTCCTCCATATCTTCAAGAGGTTCAATCAGTAGGAGGCAGCCCCTTTTGCAGCGATGATCGTGGTTCCACGACTCGTCATAATGTCAATAAAGACCCTTTACTGATCGGTCACGTAGTTCTTCTCTTGTCAATTTTTTTGGCAGCAAAGGACGGCTGAGAGTAGAAGGAGGTTTATATGCCATGGGCCTAAGAGAGGTTCTCATCCTCCAAGTATCTTGGTTGAGTCATTCTTCTTGTATTCTGGCGAAAGAAATCGTAGCTATCACGGTACGCAGTTATCACACCTTAACCTCCCATTTTATCTCTAGCTTGAGTCCTTCGATGAATTTTCCTAACAATTGATGGTTAGTCCAATCACAAGCAAGGTAGGATAGCTTCTCAGACCTAGTTTGGTACTCTTGAATCGTAGAGGTTTGTCGAATCTTTGCGAGTTGGCCATTGATATTTTCATACTCCATAGGTCTGAAACAATTTAGTCATACGTTCTTAAATTGATTCCATATCGGAGCCCCATGATTGTATTCAAGCCAATTGTACCATTGAATAGCATCTCTTTTAAGGTGGATGACAGCAATTTCCACCATAGCATCATCCGACGTTCGGTAGTAGCAAAAGTAATGTTTGGCGTGCGAAATCCACCCTACCGGGTCTCCTTCTTCCCATCGCGGGAAGTCCACCCTTATGCGTGGCTGAAGCATGTCAAAGGGCTGTCCCTCCTTCTTTGGAGGCCTTTCTGAACTCTCTCCTCACTGAAATTTGGTTGGACTCGATGGTTGTCCAATTCTGAATTCTACAAACAAAGCGCGCAATTTATCCTCCAAACGCAATTCAAGCCGAGATTCTAATGTTTCAAATTTGGCATCAATTAGATCTTGAGAAGCCATAGCATATGGAGTAGCAGAAGATCAAGGCCCACCACGATTGGGGAAGAAATGTCTGCTACGACAAGACCATTAGGCCAAATGTGCTTGAGATGTGTAAATTAGGAAGAGAGCAGCAGGGGGTGAAGGCTTGCCATGTCGAGAGAATAAGAGGCCCTCTACAGTGATGTCATTGGGCTGAACGTGCCTGAGACATGCGAGTCGAATACTTAACTCACATCAAGATCTCCCACTATAGAGAAGTCATTAGGAGAAAGGTGCTCGAAACATATAAGTCGGGATAACCTGATCCATACCAAGATCCCCGCTACGACGAGATCATCAAAAGAGGCAATTAAAACACCTGAATCAACAAGGCTCGATTTGAGCCCCACACCGTTAAACGAGGCACACATAAAAGAAAGGGAAGACCTCAACCGATGGTAACTCTAGATGACGTGCTTCAAAATGTTGGGAAATCTAGGGTGGCATCACATACATGGTGAAAGAACAAAAAATAAAATCTCATATTTTCATAAAAAAAAAATAGTTGTGCAAAGATTAGTGTGCAAAAACTCATGAAATAGAAAAACTATGCATATAAGTGTTGAATCTCGTATTTTGATGATGAAACCAATTAATAAGTGTTTATGATTTAATTAGCATTTTGAGTGACGCAGGATGCTTCGATCAGGAAGAGACAATTAAAGCAGAAAATATCATGTTGGGCCAGAGGAAAACATGTCAGAAGATTGGACGTCGGGCCGAATGATCGGTTGACGTATCGACAAAAGGCTTTGGACCATGGATTCAAGCATTTGGCCAAGAAGAGCGGATGTTGCACCAAGGATATCGGAGTTGCGAAGTTCAACTGGCCAATTGGGCAATAGGCTACAAGAGAGGACAATGCGCCGAAGAATTGGACGAAGCGTCGATGGACCAATGACATGCCGGACAACATGATTCATGCTTAGTAATCATTGTCTAGATCAAAGTGTGTTTTACATATGCAGAATTAACTATGATAGTAAGGCATGAAGCAAAATGAAGTCCCGAAGTCAAGGACGCGATTTTGTTGGGAGTTCGAGAGTTCGTCGGAAGTCTAGACGTTCGTCGGAAGTTTTACAGGAACCAGCCGAGAAGTCCAGGAGCTTGCCAGAAGAAGCTCATCGGAACTCACCAAAAAGATCGTCGTGAAGTCCAGGTGCTTCCGGAAGTCCGTTGGAACATTGTCGGGAGAACGTCGGAAGATCGTCGGAAGCTTGCCAGAAGAAACCAAGACCTAGGGACTTGTTTAACTTAAGTATACCTTAGATTTCATAGTTAGCAAGTAATTAAGATTGGATTTGAGTCAACCCAATTATGGGTCAGTTAGGCCTATGCAAGGATTGTGTTGGGTGAAAGGCCCAAATAGTGACCCAAGAAGTGGCACCATCGTGACATAGTCTTCGAGACTATGTCAGGTGGTGGTACCGCCCCTGGTAGGGTGCCAGGTGATGGTACCGCCAGTCTGCGTGGTGGTACCGCCTAGTGGCCTAGTGCCAAGTGATGATACCGTCAGACTGGGCTGTGGTACCGCCCAATGTAGTGTTAGTGTCAAACTGACACTAGCGGTGGTACCGCCCGAACCCAGGAAACCTGAGATGATATGTTTTTAGGCTCCAAGTTTGAATCAATTTGAGGCCTATAAATACCCCTCTCATCCCTAGTTAACACACACAAGCATAGAGAGTAAAAAGGAAAGAAACTCTGTTATAATCTTGTGTGAAACTCCTCTCAAAGTTCTAAGTGTTAGAATAGTTCGAGAGAGGTGTAAGTGGGGGTGTAAGGGTTAACCCAGTAAAAGGAGAAAGAGCTATAAGAAGGAGGTTGATCTTCGCCTATAAAGGAAGATCGATAGTAGATGCTGGTGGCCTTAACGATGTAGGTCACGATAGAGTGGATGTAGGTCACGATGACCGAACCACTATAAAATCGGCATGTTCTTTTCTGGTTTGCATTTCTATATTTGAGCAATTTACTTTACTACAAACCTCTTAACTTACTTTACATTCACTACACATCTTCCATATGCTTTCAAGCTATCTTTACAAAAATGCTTTCAAGTTAACCTCTCTCCGAAACGGTTTTCGTCAAAATCGATTTTTATCATAAGAAGGTTTTTTGAACCGTCGTAATTTTACCGCTGCACTAATTCACCCCCCTCTCAGTACCGACTCTTTTCCTAACAATAAAAAGATTATGTTACCTAGGGAGATCATATATCCCTGAATTCCTACAGATCTATGAGAGAGGATGAAGGAGATCAAATATCATCCTCTCTAGTGGTGATCCACATGGTAGGGGCTGTGAAGACGATCCTCAAATTACTGTACAATCTTTCT